AGGGGCACGGTCGGAAGCGCCCAGCTCCTCTTCATCGTCACAACAGCAGCCGCAGCGACAGCAGCAGCAACAAGGACAGCAGCAACGACAACAGCAACAGTCGCAGCAACAGCGGCGAGGTGGAGGCCCGATGGCCAAGCTGTCTTCCAGCAGCGTCTCCATGGATCTCGCTCGCCTGCGCACGACGTACGCCGACTTTGAGTGCATCACGGACGTCAGCAAGCGCGAGGAGCTCCTGCCCCAGATTGTGCGCCTCTTTCTGTCTGTGTTTGCCAACGTGCCCGACAAAGATGTGGCGCGCCAGTTCCGCCGAGAACCGCTGCAGTCCCTGACCATGCATATTGCGCGCTTCGTCGTGCAGCAGATCCGCAAGCGTGCTGCAGATCGGTCCACCGTCGAGGCCAGCCTGGCCATTGCCGTGTTCTTTGCGCGGGATGATCGTGGCCGCGTGTTTCTGGCAGCGCTAAGGCGCCTGGTTCAGCTCGGGGAGGTGGCGGCGGAGCCCATGTGTGCCATGTCACTGCCATCCACCATGGCCAAGACGCTGTACCTCTTGCTCGACCTCCCACCACTCCCACCTCCAGCACAACAACAACAACAACAGCAGCAGCAACAACAACAGCAGCGGCAAAAGGAGGAGGAGAAGGGGACTGTTTCGCCCCATGCCACAGGCGGCACGGTCGCAGGTGACACTGCAAGCGCAGCCACAACGCAATCATCACCGCAGCGCAACACACAGCAAGGGGAGCGCGAGGCCTTGTTCGAGGCGATGAAAACCCTCCTCACGCGCCTGTTTGCATATCAGCGCTGCACGACGGAGCTCATGCGCTCTGTGGACGCCAGCGGCGGCAGTGACATATCCCGCCTGTTTGATCTCATCACGACACCGGTCACGGCGCAGGCGAACATGTGCTGGCCGGAGTTGGCAGGGCAGCTGCTGGTCTCTTTGTACACGCACGCGCTTGTGCCGAAGCTGCTGTCGCACACGTGCCGCAAGGGGCTTGTGTCGGGCACCATCGCCAAGTTGCTTGCAAGCACGGAGCTGACGCTGCTGGAGAAGGCGCAGGGCATCAAGGTGGCGTGCGCGTGTGTGTCTGGCTGCGAGCAAGCGGCGGGTGCCAAGATTGCAGCTGGCATGGCCGCACAACACATGTACGGAAAGGTGGCGGAGTTTGTGCTGGATGCGCAGGCAACACTTGAAGCGACAGCAGTAGCGGGAACTCATGATGGCGGTGGTGACGATGATGGTGGTGATGGTGATGGTGATGGTGATGGTGATGGTGATGGTGGTGCGTCAACAGTCGCACCTACACCCCAACACGATGTCACAGACACCACCAGCACCAGCACCACCACCAGCAGCAGCAGCAGCACTAGCTTGAGCGGCGCAACGGCTATGGACAATGTGCGTGCCATTGAGATTGTTGTGACAAGCATGTGCTCACTGCTGTATGTTGGCGAGCAGCCCCTCCCCTTTCCACGCATCAAGGACAGCTTGCAGGCACCAGACTTTGTGTTCCCGCCCATGACAAGTGGGCGTGGCAAATGCATCCGAAACGCACCTGCGCTGCGTGAGTTTCTGCACCCGCTGCTGCTGAGGGCAACGTCCCCGGCATTGCGTGATGTCATCTTGCACGCGCTTCTCGACGTCATCACCAAGGTCTGTGTGTACATGTGTGTTAGAGTGTATGGGTACGTGTTGTGTTGTGTGCATATGTGCGCGTGTTTGCGTATTTGTGTGTGTGTGTGTGTGTGTGTCTGAGTGCTTGTATGAGGATATCATGTCATGTTTGACCTGCAAGCGCGAACGCAGAATCACATGCACACACACACTCACGTTCACACACGCACTCACGTTCACACACACACACACACACACACACACACACACACACACACACACACACACCCAAACACACACACTCACACACGCACACACCCAATCTCACACACCCAATTTCACACACTCACGTTCACACACGCACACACTCACCCAATCTCTCACACATGTGCACACACGTGCAACCGCACACAAAATGCTTCTGCGTGTTGCACAGTCGTCGAGCAATTACTTCATCTTGCGTCACGAGGCCGTACTGCATCATCTGCTGTCCTCCGTCCACACGTTTACACGCTGGCAGCAAGTGAATGTTTTCAAACTGCTTGAGCTGGCCGTGTGCTCGCTCAACTTTGTGCCCGGCGATGACCTGCAGCTCCTTGGGTGAGCAAGCAATCAGGACATGGAACGAGAGGAGGGAGCTATGGTTGCATGCGTGGAATTGGTTGTTCGGAGTGATTGTGTGTCATGGGTGGTGTGGTGAGAGTAGTTCGGAGGCTGATGACTGAAAGTTCTGGCTGCTCACGCTCGTTTCCCTTGATTCACACATACATACACACATACATACACACACGCGTACACACACACACACACACACACACACACACACAACACGCACAACCACGATATCTAGGCGTCTATTGAAGTGCGAGAACAGCGACACGGTGCACCTGGTGCTATACACGCTCATCAAACTCATCAACTTCAACGCCCGTTTCTCCAGCGTCTGTCGCGAACTCGGTACCGTGATGGTGATGATGACGATGGTGATGGACGCCTGCTACCTCATGTGTACTCGCCACTGCTGTGTCATGGGTGGATCCTCTTGGGCTTCCCCAATGGTTACTTACAGTTGGGTCAAGTTCACCTCACACGAGTACCACCACCACCACCACCACCATCACCACCACCACCACCATCACCACCACCATGACACGCCGCCAGGAGTGCTGGACGTGTTGATAGAGTGTCTGCTGTCGACGTCGAAGCGGTTGAAGGAGGAAGGCAGCGCAAAGGCTATGGAGGTGCTCCGCCGCACACACGAAGTGCCCACACCTATGCAGGTATTGGCAGTCGCTGTGGCGGTGGTGGTGATGGTGATCTTGGTGGTGGTGGCGGTGATGGTGGTGGTGAGGATATTAACTGCTGTCGTTTTGAGAAGGGACATCTGGACAGGGTTTAGACTGCACGCGTGCGAGTATACCTCTCACACACACACACAATATACACACGAACGATCACAGGACCCCTTCCAGCAGCTGCAGGTGTCAGCACAGCCCAACTTTGGCGGGACGGGCGATGCACGCGAGCACGCGCTGCTGATGGATTGCATTGCTCTTCTCCTTGATAACCCTGCAAACGTTCGCGCATTCCGAGCTGCCGGCGGCGCCAGGGCAGTCTTCAACATGATTGGCCTCACCTCCCACAGGTGCGACGATGCTAACGCAAGGTGGTGGTGATGGTAACGCAAGGTGGTGGTGATGGTAATGGAAGGTGGTGGCGGGGTGGTTCTGTGGGTGATGGGGGAACGTGGAGTGTGTGTGTGTGTGTGGCGTACGGGTGTTTTCAATCGTGCGAGCAGAAACACGCATGGTACGCACGATACTCTCGTCATCACCACCACGACCGTCAACACCACCAACACCAACACCACCATCCCGTCAGGTGGCATGCGCTGCGTGTTGCGCAACAGCTGGTACTGAGCGATGACACGGTGCACTCGCACGATGATTTGGCGACGCTGCTGGAGCTCATGCAGTCCACGCCCGCATACGGATACGGCCTCAAGGTACAGACACATGGAGGGGAAGAGAGGAGGAGGAGGAGGAGGAGTGCTTTGGTGTGGATTGGAGAGGACGGGATGGGTTTGAAGAGAGGACGCATGAGGTGACACGGATGGCTGGCTGGCTGGATGGATGGATGGATGGATGCGAGTGTGGTTGAAGGGGTGTATATGAAGGAAGGCAGCTCCTGGCTCGCGTGTGCCCACACAGTCTCATTCCCTCATCACCATCGTCACCACTACATGCATTATCATGTTCGCTGTTCGCGTGTTGTGGGCAGGTTGACATCTTGCGCACGATCATTCGCCTCTTCTCCCTTGACTCGCGCATCAAAGACCTCTTCCGCCAGGTGCGCAGCCATTTCTGTGCCTGTGTGTGCGTGTGTGTGCGTGTGTGTACGTGTGCACGCTGATGCATGACAACTGTGCAAAGCTTTATGTTTGTGTGGCGCCAGAGAATATGCGTCGTCATGCACGCATGCATGCACGCGCCTGCACGCGCATGCTGATTGCAGGGTTTCAAGCACAGCCAACACCACCTCATTTTCACGCATCGTCGTGTCTCCGTCTTCTGTCACATATTCGCTCAATCCGCATTGTTTTTATCCACGTCTGATGCCACCAGGCGCACGGCTTTGTGTATGTCGTGCACTCGCTGGTGACGCTCGCTGACAACGGCGACAGCCACCACTCGTCGTTCCTTCCACCGGGATCGGGTGCAGACACCGAAGCAAGCGGTGAGGCGTGACTTGAGCGACGAAAGCAAAAAGAGGGGGGGGGGGGGAATGAGGGGTGCGAGGGGTGAGAAGGGGAAGGGGGGGGGAAGGCAGTCCAATTCAATTGAGTGGCTGCTTGGTTGCTTGGGCAAGCACACAATATTGTTTGTTTCCTTGCCACAGGATTGCTTGCATCAAAATCACCATTCATACCCACCACCACTGTGTGCAGGTCGCCAGCGCCACAAGCTTGATCTGCTGTGGGCGATCCTGCACACCATCACCGCCGCCCTCAAGGACAACTCGGTGAACCAGGCCGCGTTTGCCACGGATGTGCGCTACGACGTGTTGACTGACAGCATTCGCGTTGCTGGACTGGTTGACGACGAGCACGATGCGATGAAGGTGCGCACGTGGTGTTGGTGGGGCTGTTGGTGGGGTGTTGGTTTGGTGTTGGGTGGAGGGTTTGTTACAGGCTTTGTGCTGTTTGTTCATTGCTGCGTGATGTGGTGCGATGTGCAGCCGTGATGTGGTGCGATGTGCAGCCGTGATGTGGTGCGATGTGCGGCCGTGCTGTGTGCACGTGCACGTCCTCGCCTTTGCCCCGACAAGGAATGCCACGGCAGTGATCACGCAGCTCCATCTCACGCGCTGCACGCATTCCCTTCACCGTCTTGCACTGCCATGTCAACACCTTCCACCACCACCACCACCACCTCGCCCCAAATCCGCCCCCTCTCTTCTGCCTCCAAATGTCGCAACTCCAGACGTTTGAAGCGCTACTGCTGATGGCTGGAGAGGCGTTTGGGCAGGAGGAGGACATCAAGTCCACCACAATGGCCTTACGCAACGAAATTGTTGTCGCCACCGTCATCGTGCCCCTCCTCGCCTACTGCCACCAGACGGACGTTGTGGTGCGTGAAGTGTATTGAGCGGCGAGGCATTGTGTGGTGCTGCGCTTTGGTGTACCGAGGTGGTTTTGTGCACTGCGTCGTGCTGTTAGCTCCGTTGTGTTGTGCCGCACTGTCCACTGCGTTGTGCACTGCGTTGTACTCCTGGCTCTGTTGTGTGTGCTGAACGTGCGTGCGGCACATCGTCTCACCGCACCCCACACCCACATCCGCTCATCCCCCCCCTCTCTTTATTCCCCCAATTCTCAAATCCTCGTTCTTTCCAATATTTCCCAACCAACTGATTTCCCCTTTCTTTCTCTCGCTACCTGTCCTCTTCAGCTGAATGTGATTGAGCAGCTGTTGCAGCTGTGCAGTCTCGACGCCAATTTGCAGAAGCTGTCCATGACTCCGATGATGGAAAATCTGTTCAAGTGTTTCAGCAACAGTCTTACGGAGCCGCGTGACCCATTCTATGAACCATTGCAGCAGCTGGTGCAGCGTTTAGGGCAGTGCTCGATGCAGCCCCACCAGCTGCGCATGTTTCTGCGCATGGAGCTGCAGTCTGTCCACCACGCGTCGCGTGACGAGTCGGTCGTGGGCGGGTTGGGTGGTGCACTGCGCCGCGCTCTCGCAGCCACAACATCACAACGCAATGTCAATGATGGCGACCGTGGTGGTGGCAGCAGTGGTGGGAACACCGGCACTGACGAACAGCCGTCATCATCACCATCACCATCAGCGTCGCAGTCGCTGCTGCGATTGTCATCGTCATCGTCGTCGCCATTGCATGCAGACGGCCCGTTTGTGTCGTCGCGTCACCTGCATGCGCTGCTGGACATGGCACGGGCGCATGCATGCGAGGGGGCGTTGGCGTTTGTCGAGTTTGACATGATGAAACCATGGGGATTTGCAAACCTCTTCATCCCGTCCCTTGCACAGCTCTCCACTTCATCGTCATCATCATCAGCAGCAACAGCATCAGCAGCAGCAGCAGCAGCAGCAGCGACGCTTGCCAGTGGTGGCGGTGGCGTGGCTGGCGGAATCATACCGCCACCACTTGTGTCACGTCCGTGGCCACCGCAGCACGGGTTTACGGTATCGATGTGGGTTCGTGTGCAGCAGTGGGGGCTGGACACACACCCTGTGCGCCTCTTCGCTGCGTTTCTGCCGACGGAGCCAGAGTCAACGCTCTTCAGCATGGAGGTGTGTGCATGTGTTTGTTGTGTGTGTGTGTGTGCGTGTGTGTGTGCGTGTGTTGTGGTGTGTTGTGGTTTGTTGTGTGTGTGCGTGTGTTTGTTGTGTGTGTTGTGGTGTGTGTGTGTGTGTGTGTGTGGTGCGGTCTGCGTGTGTGCATCGCCCCTGGCGCATCTAACTTGTGGTGTCACCAGCCTCGTCATTCATCTGACCATGTGTGGGTACCTGCGTGTGTGTTCGCTGCAGATTGAGCCCGTGGACTCGTGCGTGTGTGTGACCACAACAGAGACGTTCAAATTTCCTGCCGCTCTTGTGTCAACCGGAAACTGGCGCCACATTGCCGTCATCGTCAAGGTGTGGTTGCGTGTGCGTATGTATGTGTGTGCATGTGTACATGTGTGTGTATGTGTACATGTGTGTGTACTTGTGCGTGCGTGCGCGTGTGTGTGCATGCGTGTGTGTTTAAGTGAAAGTGTTTGTGCGTTGCTCGTCCAATGTGCACTCGCACGTGCGAATGTCCTTTCACACCCTGGCACTCTTCACCCCAACCAACATCAACGAAACAATCAAACGCCAGGGAAAGCCCAAGTCCAAATCCGCCGCTGTCTCTGTTTACATCGACGGGCGACTCGCAGGTGCGATGGTGATTGGTAATTGGTTTTTGGTCATGATTGGTGATGACTGGGTAGGTCATTGTTGTGGTGCAGTCGGTGTGGGTGAACTCATGGCAACAGTTGCGACATAGCTGCTGCCATCACAACCACACGGTCACGTGTTCACTCACAAGAAACCCAACACCAACCATCTGGGTCCTGTCCTTGTTCTCATCTGCCCTCTTCTTCCAACCCCATACAACCATGCTCCAACCTTCCACTGCTCCGACCCTCCAATGCGGCACCATCGCGTTCGTGTGCACAGATGCAACGAAGATGGCATATCCCTCCGTTGGACCGCCCAGCGCCAGCGCCTCTGACGTGCAGTCGCAGGTGTGCGCACGCATCGGCACAGCCAAGAGTGACAAGCTGTACTCCCCGCTGGTGTGGCAGGCGGCTGGCGTGTATTTCCTCGATGAAGCAATGGCGGCAGACGGCGTTGCGTTGCTGCGGCAGTTGGGACCAGCGTACACGGGGCACTTGCAGGGCGACCTCGCCATCCACCAAGGTTGTTTGCTGGTAGTGTTTGTGCTTGTGTGTTTGTGTTTGTGCTTGTGCTTGTGTGTTTGTGTTTGTGTTGTGCTGCGTGCGGTTGGCGGTTTCGCTGTCCACATCCTGTACCTCTCCCGTCACACTCACCGCCACCTCATATCACCCCCCCCACCAACAACACCTTCAGCGTGGCCGTTTGCTGGCCAGGACGACCCGCAACCGCTCGTGTTGCCAGATTGCCTGCAAGCACCGCACGTGCCGCTTCCGCAAGGCTTTCCAACCATCGATCTCTCCACTGTTCAGACGCCAGTGCTCCCCAGCACGAAGGTCGGTTGGTGAACATGTGTGCGTGTGTGTGTATGTGCACGTGTGTGCGACATGACTTGACTTGCGTTCGTTCGTGTCTGCATTATACACACACACACCAAACACACACACACACACGCCAAACATACACACACACCAAACACACACACACACACACACACCAAACGCACCACATATGCATGCGCTTCATCAGGTGTGGTTGAGTCTGCACGGGAGTGCGACTGCGTCTGTCGCTGCCATTGACGGACTTGCGGTGATGGGCGGTGCTGTTGCTGGTCGCGCATTCAGTACACACGCAGACGTGCACACGAGCGGCAGCATCCTCAAGAGGTACCGCGGTATTGCGGTGGGGGTGGGTGGTTTGGTGATGGTGAAGAGTGTATGTGTGTATGTGTGTGTGTCTGCTTGAGGCACTGATACTGCTCTCCCGTTTTGAACAATCCTCATTCTCATCACCTTACTCGCCACTCACCACCATCATCATCACCATCACCACCATCATCATCATCGCCATCACCAGTGTGACGAATGGAGTACTCTTTCCCCCGTTTGCACATGTCACCGGCAATGCCCGCTCCTTCTGTGGCCAAAGCGTCGCAAAGTCAATCGATCAGGTTGGCCACCAGCCCGCATCGTGCATGATGATGCGTCGTTGTGTTGTGGTGCACATTTGTGTTTGCACGAAGAAGAGCGTGCATGTGTGCGTGCGTGTGCGTGCATTTGTGTATTCAAGCATGTTTCGTGATTTCCTGCGAGTACGTGATTCGTTCCTGCTGCTCACTCCACATTACTCCTTCCCGCTTGCATACGCCCACCACCACCACCACCACCATCACCACCACGTTATTCATCATGGTTGGTGTTGGTATCTGAAGGTGGGCGGGATTGCTGTTCTGCTGCAAATTGTCGCCGATGCCACAACAACAGAATACCTCGAAGGTGCGGGAATCGTGTGCTGTTGTGTTTCGGTTTGAAAGTGTGTTCGTGCGCACGCGTGTGTGTGTGTCTGTCTGTGCGTGCATGCGTCTGTGGTTGCGCGCGCGCGTGTGTGTCTGTGCGTGCATGCGTCTGTGGCTGTGCGTTGACTACCAGCACACATGTGTGCGTGCATGCGAGCCATGCGCTCGCTTCCCTTCTGTTTCACTCACCACAACCACAATCGCGATAATCATCATGATCACGTGTCTGCTTGCTCATCAGCTGCCATTGAGTTGCTGGTGTTGTGCGTGATGCAAGCGCCGCGCAATGCAAATGCCCTCTTCTCGCACGACCACAGCAAGGTGCTGGGTGATGCTGGCGACGTGTGATGTTGACTGTGCCTTCTGGTGAACGAGGGATGGCGTGCGGCACACGTGGACGCATACACGCAAACACGCACGTATATTCGCGCGCGTACCCCCCGGCCCAACACACACACACACACACGCACACACACACACACACACACACTCTCTCTCTCTCTCTCACTCGCTCGCTCGCTCGCTCATCACACCCACAGGTGCTGGCTGCGGTTGTCATGTCCAAACCATCACTGGTGACACCGAACACAATCGCATCCCTCATGCGCATGTGTGTCATTGACGTGGACGAACAACAAGAAGGTGAGCCAGTGCCCACGGTGGAGAACGATTTTGTGTTGGAAAGGTTGGCTGTGTGTGCATGTTTGCTGTGTGTGTGTATATTTGCTTCCCCCTTTCATAACCTCACACACACGTACACACACACACGCACACGCATACACAACTGCTCGCCATCACCACCACTGCAGCGTCGCCCTTTGCGTCGTCACTGCCACCGCCCCCGCGTCACGGCGTCATTGTCAGCGCACGTCTCTTGCGTCACATCTTCCTGTTGCAGGACATCTGGCGCCCGTGCACATCATCTGCACGCACACACATCCTCCGTCGCCTCCTGTCGTTGTGCTTGCCGGGCAACCCTGCTCGCCAACACAACGTGTCGCTGCTTCTAGGCAGTGGCATCGTCGATACTTGTATCGCCATCATCTGCGTACGTCCAGTGTGTGTGCGTGTTTGTGTGTTTGTGTGTGTGTGTCTGTGTGTGTGTCTGTGTGTGTCTGTGTGTGTGTGTGTGTGTGTGTGTGTGTG